ATATCATTTACAATAATATCAAAAAATGAAATATGTAGGGATGAATCACAGAGGCATGAGGAAACTTTTGAGGGTTATGGGTATGTTCACTATCTTGACTGTGATTGTTATACACTTTAAATATATACAGCTTATTATAGGCCAACTATGCCTCAATAAAGCTATAAAAATGCTATAAAGAATATTATTGGGACACTTCAAAAATTTGGAGTATAGATGGTAGATTAGATAAAAATACTGACATTGAGTGTACTGAAGTTGATAACTCTACTATAGGTATATATGGGAGTATCATTATTCTCAGGAAATAAACACTGAAGTATTTAGGGGTAAAGGGCCATAGTGTATGTAACTTATCTTCACATGGTTCAGAAACAATATTATGTGACACACACACACACCCCCAAACCTCCCACCCGCACACATGGGAGGGGTGAGTTAAAGAGGTGAGGCAGGGACCAGAGAGGCAAGAGGGAGAAAATGATAAAGCAAGTGGGAAAAATGTTAACGTTAGATGTATATGGCTAAGGGGTGTATGGATGTTCATACCACTATTGCAATTTTTCTCTGAATTTGGAATTGTTTGAAAATAAAAATGTTAAAAATCTATACTAAAGTGTTATCATTTACAAAAATTCCTTAGGTGGGACACAAAATACAATCACCAAAAGAAAATTAATTGAACTTAATCAGAATTTTAAAGTACTGCTGTTTGAAAAACGCTGTTTAAAAAGTGAAAAGGGCAAAAAAAGAGGATTAAAAAAAGTTCATTAAATGCATGAGAAGTTGCTCAACGTTACTGGTCATCAGGGAAAGGTAAATTAAAACCACAATAGGTTACCACTACACTCCCACTAACTAACTGTAATTGAATATACTCAAGAGTGGGGGGAACATTATAACAATATATAAGAAATTATAAAGCACATTATACTTACTATAAAAGTAAATTCTAAAATGACATTTATAGCCAAATTATAGATTGTCAATAAAATAAAGTTTTAAAACACTTAAAGCCATTGCTTGTAGGTGTGTTAAACAGTTTGGAAAAAGTTTGTTAGTTCTTTTTATACGTTTAAACATCTGCTTACCATTTAACCCAGCAATTCTAATTCTGCATATTTATTCAAGAGGAATGAAAGCATATATTCACAAAGTCATTTACTGTTCATAGAAGCTTTATTTATAATAGCCCAAAACTGGAAACAATTCACATATCCATCAAGAGGTGAATACATAAACAATTTGTAGTATATCCATACAATGGATCCTTCTCAGTATTAAAAAGGAACAAACAACTGAATCACAGCCATGCATGAATCTCAAAAATGTAATACTGAATGAAAGCAGATACAGTAAAGTACATACTGCATGATTCCATCTCAATGACACTTCAGAATGCTAAAAATTAATCTTGCATCACAGAAGGCAGTGATTGCTTATGGTCAGAGCTGTGGGGACAGGGTTTGACTGCAGAGGAACATGGGGGAATTTCTTGGAATGATAAAAATATTCTATATCTTGATTCTGATGGTTGGTTATATGAGTGTATATATTGGTCAAAACTTATAAAATGTAAAATGTCCATTTTTGTATATAAATTATACTTTAATAAAGTTGATTGAAGAATTAAAATATAGATGCCATTCATTAGAGTGCATCAGAAAAAATTTAGTAAGACTATTGATCTTAGAATAATTAACTCTAAATAAGTGGAATGTATTATAACAAGAACCCTTATACTCAAAAGAAAAACAATTGTATGAACTAGTGGTAATTTTTATTTAATATGCATATATTTAAAAAATGGTTAAAAGCATACATTAGTAGGTAATTTTTTGGATCTGAAAGAATTATCACAGGGCTCCTTGTTAGCATTGAAAAGTGGGCTACTAGATATTGTATTTTTGCATACATCTTTTGATTGCCTAATATCCCATATATCTTCAAAGACTTTCCTTGCTTTGGCTGGGTTCTTTGCCTCGTTCTTTGTGGTCCTACTAAAACATGTGGTCATGCGTATTCAACACGGACATGTGGTCCATGTCTATTCACTTTTCAAATTCTGTTGCTGAGCATAATACTTGCAAAATAGTAGGTTTTGAATAAATGTTGAAGTAGGATTCATTTTAGCCAAAATTACTTTGCCATTCATTTTAATAAGTTCCTTAAAAAACATTGATTGAGCACCTACTTTCTCAGTAGGTAGGACATAACAGTGGTGAACAAGATATCAAGCCTTATGGGGCTTATATTCTAGCGGAAGAGAATCACTAAGTAAATTTCAACAATAAATACAGAGTGTGTCATTGTTTAAATCAGGTAAAATGAGGAAAGGGTCTACTTTAGGGTGGTGTAGAAACCTTGAGGAGGCGACATTTGAGAAGGTGGTGTGAAAAATAATAAGGAGCCTGCCATGGGAAGAGCCAGCTGAAGAGCCCAGAGATAGTTCACTTGGAACTGAGTGGTTTCCCTGGATGCAAGACTTCCAGTGCCCAAAGCTGGGGGGCGGTGTGTCCCAGGCACAACAGGGTGGTCCAGCTGCTCCACTGTGCTGTAGGCTCCAGCTCTTCTTGCTTTCACAAGGATTTTTAACTCCTGCAGTTACTCCACCTTTCTGTTGCAGCATTAATTTCTTTCTACATTTGAAATCATTCCTCAGCACACAGATCTAGTATCTCCTAGCTGAGGAAAGCCCTCTATTGGCCATACATCAATTTTCATTTAAGAAAAGAACTTTTCTTGAGACTTAGCATTCTCCCAAAGAGCTGTACTCATCCCACTGTCTTTCCCTCCCTGACCTTTACTTTCGAGCAAGCACGTTCATGGGGCTTACCTCTCACTACTCTGTTGAAATTCCTCAGTAAGGTTAACAAGGACTTCAGTTTGCTGCCCTGCTCTTACTCCAGTCTTTAAGTGTATCTGATAAAGTTGACCACACCCTCCTCTCCTGAAACACTGATATTAATAATAATTTCTGTGTTTGAAATCTTGTCCTTTAGAATATTCTGCTTAATGTCTCCTTTTTAATTCATCAAATTTAGTTTGTTGTACTGTGTGTATTTGAAGGAGGGCTTGTGAGATAAGCAAGAGAAATATATATTGCAAGTGTTTAATTTATCATTAGGAGAATCAGTATTCAGCTGAAACAATTATTTCCATATATAGCATATCAAAGGCCTTACAGATGTTCATAGCCTTTGATTCAGTGATGGTACTTATAGGCAGTCTCTTAAGCACATAATGTGAAATGTCTGAAAAATTAACATAAAAATTATATATAAATTTAGATTAATCACATCGATACTTTTAATAGTAAAAACCTGCTTAACAATATGGGGGTGAGCAGGAAAATTAAAATGCACCCATAGAATAGAGTTATGGTAATGGTAAATGATGTGTAGGAAAAGGTGGTTTTTTTTTTTTTAAATAACAGAAATGTTAATGTATAATAAAGGAAAAAATCTATATAAAATTGTGAGCCTCTATAAAAATGTAGATAGGATAAAAATTGTAAGAAACTGTGAACAGATTTTTCTTTAGGTAGTAGAATTGTAGGTAATTTTTCTATATTTCCAAACTTACCACAGTGATTTTATTTTTATAATCAGATTGCTATTATTAAGATGGGAGTTGCTATGTGGTCAAAGCTCATAAAGAAAATACATATTTATTCTGAGAGTGTTGCCTTCAATTGCAGAATAGCATCTACTCAGTAAGGGACTCTCATAATTTGTGGAATATCTTTGATATTTAATTGACTCTTGATTCTCCCAAGAAAAAAGTGGCCCATAATTTGACCATTTTCTCTATTTTATTTTATTATTTTATTATATGCTTGACTTTGATAAGGTTTTTTCCTCAATGTTTCAGTTTTTTTGCAGGATATTTTGCCACCCTTTCCTTTCATAATGTACTTCTTCAGGCCAGGAAGAATAAGATGTATCTGTAATTAAATTAACTCATCTTTAGTGTTTTTCAGCCAAGCGTCTCTATGTGTAACTAATGCAGTTACATTACAAGGACAGGTTAGAGTACTTTGCTGTTATTTGTAATCTGGGTAGAGATTCATCAACAAAAGCAAATTGTAGACTGGCTTGAAAAGTACTCCCCTGGACTCCCATTGATTTAGGCAGTTAATGGTATACTTTAAATGTGTTATTTAAATGTTTCACATTGCTTAGTTTTCCTTCCCTAAGTATTTGTAAGCTCATCAGATTTGTGACTGTGTCACTTTGGTGGTCTCTGTAGTTCCCCAGCACACAATTATGCGCTTAATACGTGCACAGAACATTTTTACTGAAAAAATGAATGTAACCCTCTGCTTTTTTGTATTGGTTCAGGGAACTAAAATAAAGTGTTCCCTTAATGAGTGTAAATCTTCTGAAGCAAAGGTGAAATTTAACTACTTTTTCCTTCCCCTACTAAATGGACAAAATGCATGTTGTCTGCTCAACTTGGTGATAGTAAAGAGAAGCTAAAACTGTCCTGAGCTGATAACCAAAAGTCAAAAAAAAAATAAAAAGAAGCACAAATAATTAAATAATGTTAAATTCTGACAATATCAATGGTTGTCACATGGGTAACCAAGACCACCATGAGTTATATTTTCTATCTTATACAGGAATTGACTTGACTGAACCCTAACTCATTTTAGGACTCATTTAATTCTTTCTTTGTTTTTTGATCCTATGTTAGTTTTTATGAGCTTAGTATGCATTTAAGTTTATTATAAATAGTTTATTGGTGCTAATTACTTATGATACTTGAACTTTTTGATTGAGTGTACTTTATCATATATTTTATTTCTGTATTATCTCATTATTAAATAATGCTTGTTACCATCATAAAGGTGAAGCTGTGTTATGTAATATTTTAAAATATACAATCTTTATGTAGTCATCAAAATAAGTGAAAATATATATGATTGCACTAAGGCTTACCCAAATTTAATTTTGTTCCCTCTTTTCAGTTTTTCTTGAAGATTAGTTACACAGGATATGCTGCTGTACGTTATTTTGGGATTGCTTATACATTTGGTGTTCTTCGCCTCTATCTTTGACATTTATTTTACATCTCCTTTGGTTCATGGAATGACTCCTCAGTTTACGCCATTGCCTCCCCCAGCAAAAAGATTAGTGCTGTTTGTTGCTGATGGCCTGCGAGCAGATAAACTTTATGAATTAGATGAAAATGGAAATCCTAGGGCACCATTTATTAGGTAAGCATGTCAACTGGTACAAAGACATCTCTGGAAAGTGTTATGCTAATACTGTTTATCTCACGTTGGGTAGAGGAGTGATGATGAGAAAGAGAATAGGGCACATATACATTGGCCTTTGCCATAGAGATTAGCAAGTTTATTTCCTTCTAGGAGTTATTTCTCTTATTGTGGAAGTCGATATCAGGTGAATCGAAATGAATGACCTTAGCTACTTGGCCTAACTTGTCCTAATGTCTGAAACCTGGCTTACAACTCACTATATTGTCCTTTTCTTATTAATGACAAGCATAAATATTAGTGAATTGCCAATTACAAAGGTGTTTAACTAGAAAATATAGACTTCAACTCAAAATACATCTTCTATCAAATATATAAAGCCCTTCCAAGTCTATATCACTACATAATGTAATTTTGGATTCTATTAAGTGGCTTTGAAAAGGAATGTTTAATTTTGGAGGCTTAGGGGACTCGTGCAATCAACTGTTCTTTTTCTGATTCATAGCAAGCCCCTCAAAAGCCCTTCCTAATGCTGTTGTAGAGAGATTAAAACTCATATTCAAGTGGAAATTTATCTAAAATCGTCTGTCTTTCTCCTGCCCCTGTCATGATTTCTTTCTATCTCTTTACCCTATTTCAGTTTTCCTTATAGTACTACTTAGCATGTGCAACTTCCACTAAGGCTGGGACTTTGTTTTATATACCACTTTATCTCTAGTTCCTAGAACATATAGGCAATTGATAAATATTTGTTGACTGCTAGAAGAATGAATGAACCTGAATTCTATGTTGAATTTCCAGGAATAAATGTATGGTGCCTCAAAGAAATGCATAATATACTAAAGTATGCAAATAAATGAGCAACTCAGGGCTATAGGAAAATATGAGTAGGAAAATAAGATCAAGCCTGGGTTAAGTTCAGTACACAAAAATGTGTAACACAAATTTCTATGAATAGTTTAAAAATTGGGGTGATAGGGCTTCCCTGGTGGCGCAGTGGTTGGGAATCCGCCTGCTGATGCGGGGGACGCGGGTTCGTGCCCCGGTCTGGGAGGATCCCACATGCCGCGGAGCGGCTGGGCCCGTGGGCCATGGCCTCTGGGCCTGCGCGTCCGGAGCCTGTGCTCCGCAATGGGGGAGGCCACAGCAGTGAGAGGCCCATGTACCACAAAAAAAAAAAAAAAAAAAAAAAAAATTTGAAAAATTGGGGTGATGTATTTGGTTGAATTTCTTAGTTGTCAAAGAAAGGAGAGAAATATAGTTCATTGCAAAATTAATAAGATATAAAATATACTGGTTGTTAAGGCAAAGGCAAGACTTTCTGGTACCACTTGCTTCTCCTTGGGGTGTTACATAGAAGGCAAAGGGCTCACAGTTGATGTTCCTTGTGTTGTATGCCATTCTAGCTTCTTCTAAACCTTTTTTTTGGAAAGGTTTTATTTGTTCCTCACTGTTTTTTAAAAAATATGATCTGATCAAAATGTTTTCAACAGAAGTATCCACATTTCTTTATACCTTCCTCTCTCTGTTTGAGTTCAGTTTCCATTACATAACTGAAGAAGTTAAAAAATGTTTCTCCCTCAGCAGGTGGTTCAATGGTTTTTTAAGCCTTTTACTTTTTATGTATATATTTGACTAAAGTTGGTTTTATTATGAGATGTCAATATTAAAAGTATCTAAACAGCACTTTTAGATACTTTTCTACAGAACATTTTGAGAGTTGAAAGTTTATCTTGAAAGTTGTTACCAATGAATTCGTGTTTTATAACTTGTTGCTCTGTTGGCCTTTTACCTAAAACAGCATTACTGACAGTTTTGCATTTTCCCCCAAATTTTGCAAATCACTGTTAGACAACTTAAAGAATGTTGATACATTTTAGCAAAAGAAATTTTGGCCTGTTTTAATCTCAAATTTAGGTAGATAATTTAACCACCATCACACCTAATAAAATTTAACATTGACAAAATAATATTGTGTATATCAGTGATTTCTTATGTAACATACCATTTCAATACTTTGTGGCTTTAAACAATAATGGTGTATTTTGTCTTGTGATCCTGTACAGTGGTTGAGTGGTTCTTTGTCTCACCTGGGCTTTCTTGTGCTACTGAATCCAGCTGGTGGGAGGGATACAACCGGGCTCAAGTGGGATCAGAAAGATTCCTTTCCTTCTTAAATTTTGACTCACTCTTTTGACTGGATTCCTTCAGTAATAATCTTATTTTTCTAAAGCCTTAACAGAGCATTTGATCATAGTCTGTGTTAACTATCCATCTGTAACATCTTTTAGGAATATCATAATGCATGAAGGCAGCTGGGGGATATCTCACACACGTGTGCCAACTGAATCTCGGCCAGGCCATGTAGCCCTGATAGCAGGGTTTTATGAAGACGTCAGTGCAGTTGCCAAAGGTATTGTCTATTTTGATGATTTTATCACATGAAAAATTTATTGCAAAAATATTGCTTCTTTAACACTGAATCATGACACAAAGTGAAGTATGTTTTGAGATACTTTTTTTTGGCCATGCTGCGTGACATGTGGGATCTTAGTTCCCTGACCAGGGACCGAACCGATGCCCCCTTCAGTGGAAGCATGGAGTCTTAACCACTGGACCACCAGGGAAGTCCCTGTTTTGAGATACTTTTGACAAGTATTTTAGCATGCCTAACTCACATAAACACACACTGGGATTGACTCAAGAATTAAGCTTTAGCTTTTTATCATCCTGTGCTATTGATAGAATATGATTGGATGGATTCATGGATTTCCTAGATCTTAACACTCGAAAGGTCAAAAGTGATTCTATATTTTAGTAAGAAGTAAATTATCTATTGTAAGCTTTTTAAAAAAAATTGTAATATAATACACGTAACAAAATCTGTTATTAGTTTTGCATTTGTTCTGCAATTAATCCTCATTGTTATTATTTGAAAAATACTTGTTTAGGGGATATACTAATATTTCATCATGTATCTATTACTTTTGTCATTGTTTGCTTTTTTTCTCAATTACCTGAAGGATGGAAGGAAAATCCTGTAGAATTTGATTCTCTTATTAATGAAACCAGGCACACATGGTGCTGGGGGAGCCCAGACATCTTGGCTATGTTTGCCAAAGGTAAAAGTCATTGATTATATTTCCTCAGCTACTAAATAGGCAATAAATCAATATGGTAATTTAAAATATATACTATATTTTATTGATTTTGAAATACATGGTTTTACATATTTAACATCTCAGAAATAAGGGTGTATATTACGATAGACATGTCAGTTTGATTTTTTTCCTTCTTAGTTGTACTTGAAATGTTGAATTATACAGTTTTTAATACCTTGGATTCGATGAAATGGTATATGTATGACTCTTAACATCTAACAGCTTTTTAATCTTGGGCAAGTTAGATAACTTCTTTGAAGCCAGTTTTCTTTTCTGTAAAATGTGATAATAATAATAATAATTTCTATCTTCTAGGTTTGTTTTGGGGATTAAATAAGATAATTCATGTGAAACATTTAGCAAAATGCTTATTATGACGATGATAACTCCTCATTATGATGATGATGTAGATGTCTGGTTCATTTTACTTTGATAGATTATTACTAAGAAGTTAGTAGATAGTCACATAAAGATTTAAATGTTAATATTTATAACTTGTATTTGCATATATTCAGGATCATGCCATTTGGATTTGTTGTATTTGTTGTATTTCTGCATGAATCTGCAAGTATTAGAACATCTCTTGATTAGAAAATTCATTTACATTATTTTCTAAAATCAGTAGGATTCCATTTGAATTTTATGTCATTAAATGCTTTTTAGTGAGAGCATTATGATCATTTCACCTAATGAAAAGGTTTACACTTAGTCAAGAATATAATATAATAATTGTAATTACTAAAGATTATTATATGTCTCAAAAGCAAAACAGATATTCAGAATTTTCTCTATGATAGTCACAGAACATTATTATGTAGAGCAGGTCAAAAAACTTATACTACTTGCCATTTATATACTGCCTTCTTTGGAAAGCAGTTAAGCTTTTTGGGGGACTGGTGGTGGTGAGGATGGATTAAGTTGCTATGGCTACCAAATTTACCTCCCTACTTCTGACTACAGTTGATAGGACAGGACGCCTGAATTGGAGATAATCGAATAAGAATGTTCCATTTCTTATGGCAACCCACAGACCCACTCAGATCTTTACTTAGAATGTGGGAAGTAGAATGGCTGAACAGTAGAATAGTATCATTAGAGCTAAGCTGATATTATAAGAGATTTGTCATTATTTTGTTATATCTCTTACTTATGAGCTATAAGAGCCTAACTCAGAAATTCACTAAGTTGATTAGATTCTTAATAAAATCCTACAAATATGTAAGATTAATATATTTGTTGACCCTTTCAAACCATTTGGCAATAAGCAATATTTATTCCCTTATACTGAGAAAAATGCACATATTTTATGAGCAAAAGAACTGAAATATTTGAATTTTCTTCTTGGTTAGGGAATTTTGTAAAACAAATGATTTCATCTATTTTAGACTGTCCCATCCTTAGATGCACAAATTCTTTGAATAGTTTAATCCTTACAGGGAGACAAACTTTGGTGTTTACTTTTGTGCTGTCGTGTATTCATTAGCACTGTGACTTTGGCAAGTTAATTAACTCATTTGTAGTGTATCTGTAAAATTGGAATATGTTACTGTGAGAATTAAAACAACAGCATATGTTATAGTATAAACTATGGTCCATGGCAGATCATTAAAAATTTTTTTCTCCAAATTTCCTTTTCAGGTGCTAGTGGAAACCATGTTTTTGCACATAATTATGACGCTTACAGTGAGGATTTTGGTGCCCAGGATGTAACAAAACTGGATACCTGGGTTTTTGATAATGTGAAGGTATGTGCTATTGAGTGGCTAATCTACAGCACACGTATTTGTACCTAATGTACTAGAAACTGATTTGTTAGTAAATGTATCTTAGTTTTTTTTACTTGTATGAACTTGAAAGTTCTTTATTGTAGCATACTATTTTAAAAAGACTGGATTCTAGGAAATTACACATTCTACAATAACCAACTAATAGAAGTTTAAAAAAAATAATTTAAAAAAATTAACTCTGGGCTTCCCTGGTGGCGCAGCGGTTGAGAATCCGCCTCCCAATGCAGGGGACATGGGTTCAATCCCTGGTCTGGGAGGATCCCACATGCTGCAGAGCAGCTAGGCCCGTGTGCCACAACTACTGAGCCTGTGCTCCAGAGCTTGCAAGCCACAACTGCTGAGCCCGCATGCCACAACTACTGAAGCCCATGCACCTAGAGCCCGTGCTCTGCAATGAGAGAGGCCACTGCAATGGGAAGCCCGTGCACCACAACAAAGAGTAGCTCCCACAACTGGAGAAAGCCCACGCGCAGCAACAAAAACCCAATGCAGTCAAAAATAAATAAATTAAATAAATAGATTTATTTAAAAAAAAAGTTAACTCTTAAATTCCGTGTTTCTGACAGTTGGTTGGATTTAGGAAACCTGCATTTCTTTCCTAGTTTGCCGAATCATCCTAGGTAAACCTTCTTGATCTTTCTTTGACCACAGAACCAGTCTCTTATAAGTAGTGGGACCATGTGATTTGTTTGAAAGTCTTCTGAAAAATGCTGTTCAAATCTAATGCATTTATTATAACATAAAGTAGATGTTTTAAAAAAATTGTACTTTAAAGAAAAATTAGATAAGCAAAAACAAATTCACAAGTTAATCATAATAAAATATTTGAATTTCATTAAGATATCGAGGTTTTTGGACTGTTTGTTAGTGACAATCATCACAGCTTCACCAGGAATCCAATAGAATTTATATTTTCAAAAACTGTGTAAAAATCTCAGCTGTAGATATTGGCTCACTCCTTTCTGTCAATCTATTCTTTCTCATCTCCGAATTATAACTCATAATTCATCTGTTATAAGAAGCATTCATTGATTGACCCTTAATGATTCTTCCTTTTACCAGTAGTGTCTTTGGACTGACATTGCAGACTTCTCCGTAATTTAGTCATTTTTATTGTTTGTTTGTAAACAGTCAGTATGTGTCTGCATTTTTCTTTGTATTTACTTATCAGGAATTAAGTGCTCAATGTGTTCTTTGGTAAACCCTATTTCTTTTATCAGAATATTTTTCCTTGAAGCTTTCTTTTTTCATTTAACATATGCTTTTGTCAAAAGGGAAGACCTTCAAGTTAAATAAAATCTCTTCAAAAAAATAATTAGCAATTTATTTTGCTATCACTTCTTAATATAATTGACTTATATTAGTATCTGCTTAAAGACCTTTGGCTTCTAATTTCATAAACATGCCAAAAATATTCCAAAATCATGGATTTGATTCCTTGTGGATAGGCAGATATTGCTAATGACTGGCCTGATTTTATGCCTTTTTTACTTTACTTCAACACTGCTAGTTGGTGATATGATAGTGACCAGAAAAAAAATTTGCCTACAACTTCATAAGATATGATAGAGACATGTACATTAATCAATAACAAAAATATGAAATCGGGCTTCCCTGGTGGCGCAGTGGTTGAGAGTCCACCTGCCGATGCAGGGGACGTGGGTTCGTGTACCGGTCCAGGAAGATCCCACATGCCACGGAGCAGCTGGGCCCATGAGCCACGGCCGCTGAGCCTGGACGCCTGGAGCCTGTGCACCGCAGCAGGAGAGGCCGCAACAGTGAGAGGCCCGCGTACCGAAAAAAAAAAAAAAAAAAAAAAAAAAAAAAATATATATATATATATATATGAAATCATCAACAATGATTAGTGGTGTGAAGGAAAAATGCAGGGACTAAGAATATATCTTTAGAAAATTCTGATGTAAGCTAAGCAGTTAGAGGAAGACTTTCCTGAGAGTTTTGAGATAGTCTCTGGAGAAGTATACGAGACAAAGAAATGGATGGATCTGGACTGCATATAGAAAAGAGTATTTCAGACCAACAGCGTTATGTAAACTTGGGCCCTGAAAGGAGAGCCAGCATAATGGATTTGGAGAACTGAAAAAAGGGGAGGTTAGCATGGCAGGAACACTTACTAGAGCACAGTCTGAGATCAGGCTAGAGAGGGAGTCAGGGGCCCAACCTGGACTTTGTGCCCTGGCCAGAGACTCATGCTTAATTCTAGTCAAACGGTTTACAAATATATGCCAATTTCTATTCACTTTTTAAAAAATTGTGGTAAAATATCCATAGCCATCTCCTCTATTAGGTCTTCCATGACTTCCCTTTGCTTTACCCCACTTCCGGTTTGACTTAGAGAACCCTCTTCTATATTCCCTTAGTACCTCTATCTTAGTACTTTATTATGCTACGCTGTAATTTTTGATACATTGGCAACAATTTCAATCCTATGGGAAAAGAATCTAAAAAAGAATGAAAAAAAATAAAGATGTGTGAGGTCTAACTGTTCAATACATCCCAGAGGATTAAAAGGAACTCTGCATTTATTTAAGCTTACAACTGCCTATATTATAAGCCATTGGATCTAACAAGCATTTCTGTACTGTTTATGCAAAAAGGAGGGGATTTAAAAACAAAACAAAACAAAACAACAAAAAAACCCAAACAATTTCAATCCTATATACATCTTATGGCAGAGATACTGTCTTTTTCATATTGTTCAATCTAAATTCCTATCATGGAATTGTCTGGTACATAGATACATGATTAATTTAGATTAAATTCAACTCTGTAATAGAAAAAAAAATATTGCTTAGAAGTTCTGTCTCAATAAAAGATAATGCCAGAAGTATGCAGCCCAAGATTGATGCAGTCCAAGAATGCCATAGTGGTTCCACAATGTCATTAAGACCCAGTCTTCTAAGTTTCTCTTCTATCCTCAGAGCATGATTTTAGCTTCAGAGTTGTCTTACGACCCAAGAGATGCTGGAGTTCCAGCCATTATTTTAAATGTTTTAGACCAACAGTACGAGGAATCGAAAAGGACCTTCTGTCCTACTAAATTAAATTTATTTCAAAAACCTTAGGTCCACATAGTCCTTTGACTGAAATGTTTGACTTATATCTCATTGGCCATAACCAAAAAGGCACATGTAGCTGTGAGAGAGAATAGGAAATATGTAGGTTTTAAGTTTGGAGCACTGACATGTCCCATAAAATCAGAGGTTTTACTTGGAGAGAAAGGGAGACTGCATGCTGGGGTAGTCATCTAGCAGTCTCCCATGAGGTCTAATAAATATTTGTTAAGTACAAAAATGAATGAGTGTCTTTGAGCTAAGAAAAGTGGGGTTGGTGGGCATAATTATACTAAATATTGGGGGGAAAGAAGCCAGGAGTGTATTCTATCTCTTAGGTACAAAAGACCAACTTTTTAAAAGGCAGTGGGAATCTAATAGGCTGAGCTCTGTAAGATTAGTGTTTCATGGCTTCCCAGATCTTGTGTCCACATATGAATGAATAGCACTTTTTACAAAGCTGAATATTATCAGTCATGTAACAAATTGTAAATTTGACTCAAGTTCAATTCCTAAGTTTTTTTGTTTCTTGTCAGCTTTCAATTATATCTACAGAATGTAATTCCTTTCTCTTGAAAAACTTGCCATTTCCATCTAGATTTAAAATTTCCTAGGGGCTAATTAGAATGTATTTGAAAGGGGCTAGGTAGAATATACATTTCATACATATATGAAAGTTAGGGGGCCATTTTATGTTTTAAGGAGGATTGGTAGCATTATGTTTATGATTTTTAAAAAAATTATTTCTATTCTTGACTAGATGGTTTCTCTAATGGCACCATTTATATTTTTAATGTTTGTAATAATGAAGAATTATCTGAAAAAATATTTCAGATTTTTGTTGGAATGATAAATACCTCTTATTCTTAAAATTAACATCTTCTATAGTTCATTTATGTGAACAATAATTATATATCTTGGTAGCCTGTTGACTTATTATACTCTCCATAGGTACTTGCTTACATGTTCATGTGTATGTAAGCACAGGATGAATCCTTTTCTTAGAGGGCTTTATGGATCCAGTTTATCATTATGAAATTAATCATTTTTGAACCATATTTCCTTTCATTAAGTGGACATTTTTCTATCATACAATGTGAAGAACAGATTCTAGTCTTGGGACAAAGGAAATAGAAGGCTATTTGCAATGTTGCAAATGAGAGACTATGGTTGGACTAGAGTGGTAACATGGGACAACAGAAGTATGAAAACATTTTAAACTCATAAAGCGTTCCTAAACTGTTGCCACTAGTACCGTTTTACTTTTGACTCTTGTCAAAATAGTTCTTCAGTCTGCTATATTTTATTCAATGTTATGAGAAATTCATGAAAACGAGATCCCCGTTCTATAACCTTTTTTCAGCCTAATTATAACACAGAAAATAGCTCACTCGTTATTTGAACATAGATGTCTGAACTGACAAGTACTTTGTGTTGGTAGGTCCTGAGGACAAATTTAAACAAAATAGGATAATTTAATTTTATAGTTATGTATAAATTTAATTAAATGTTTTCATTGGAATTACTTTTTAAATAAAATAAATGAACTAAAATTTTTTAACTGATTTGTTACATATAGGAATTCTTTCATGCTGCCAGAAACAACCAATCTTTGTTTTCTAAACTAAATGAAGACAAAATAGTTTTTTTCTTACATTTATTAGGAATAGATACAAATGGACATGCTCACCGACCATCGTCAAGGTAATTTTAATGCTGTGTTTAATTTCATGGTTTTGAGGGAAACGCCTGTTTGAACTTTTAAGATATTATTATAATGTTTTCTTTGTAATGATCACAACAGAACTTATATTTTAAAAAACTCTAAAGTAGAATAAGTTCTCATTTATATGAGATGTAGTATATGATATAGTGGCTAAAGTCACATGTGCTGTGACCACACTGCACATTAATATAAGTAAAATATATCCTGTATGTGTATTCCATATTCTTCATTTATCAGGTCAGAGAGAAAAAACTTATATTTTAGAAGTATTTTAGTAAATTTTGAAATAAAAAGCATTTTTATGGTGTTAATATTTATTTCGCGAAAAGACGTAATTAGCTGTTCCTTATGTTCCATTTAATCAGTGATATATCTAGCAGATAATAGTATAAAGTTTTATATATGATGTTTCAGTAGTACTCCTTATATAAAACAGCAACTATTTTTCTCACTATTGAAGACCGTAAGAAAGGAAGAATTCATGTTATACTTTTATTCTTCATTTTGAATTTGATTTAGATTAGTCTAACTAACTGTAAAGCCTATTGGTTAGCTGCCAGTAATGAATACCTCATGCTTCCCTTCTTTAACACAGTGCATTGTCTTAAGTGATAGAACTTATACCAAACCATCCTTGTTCAACTGTATGGAAAGCTTAAATATAGTTTGTTCAAAATATATTATATTATAGTGGTTTATATCACAAACACTCTAAGGGATGGAAATATTCTATAGTTGAAACAGTGATGCTTACCTATTACTAATGTGGAAAGAGCAATATAGTTTACATTATGAGAGGCATGAACTTAAAAGTCATTATTGTTGCATTTGAGACTTAAAAAGCATTCCATAAAATCTATTTGCTAATCAATATCTTTTTAAAAATCATTTTTGAAAATGATTCCAGATTTTTTTACTCTTTAAAAGGTAAAATTCCTCTTAAAATTCCAGATTTTTTACTTCTTTAACACTCTAAAGAGCTCTGATTTAAAAAAATATTAAAGATGAGATCTAAAAGTACTTCAAGTTAACTTTATAAGTTCATGTTGAATAAATTTGATTTTTCCAAATTAATGTAATTAATATAATTTCATTTTCTCTTCTCTTTCTTTTTAAACAGGGAATATTTGAACAATATTAAAATAGTTGATGAGGGATTGAAACAAATTGTGTCTACTCTTAAAGATTTTTACGGAAGTGATGGGAAAACAGCATTTATCTTTACTGCTGACCATGGAATGACAGACTGGGGTTAGTCTGTTTCTAAGTGATATATACTTTACAATTAAAGCAGTGGTAAATGTAACTTGCAAATATCTTGTAATGTTGAAGAGGATTAGATATCTCAGTATATGCAAACTGTCTAGCACATAATAGCATGCATAAAATGTTAGTGTATAAAAGACTGATCTTATATAATCTTTCTTCTAACTATGAAGGGAATATACTCTCATTTAACATGAGAAATTAGAGAAAAGTGTTGTGAAGAAAACAAAAAATACTGATTATTTATCCACCTAGAATTAACTGTATGTGATGGCAGAGGGGGTGAGTTTAAGGTGGTATTACTGAGGGTACTACTAGATGAGCCTATCCTCCCTGTGAGATTCCTAAGGCAAACACAGTGTGTGCACAGAGATCAAAATAAGGCAAAGCTGAGGTTTGGGTCACCAAATCACAATGTAGAATTCTTGTGAGCCGGTTCCACTTTATAAAGGGCTTTTGGCTATACCAGCCAGAGTGGCCTGGAGGAAAAGCATATAGAGACTTTGCTATCCTCTTCAGAGCAGACCTGGCCTCAAACTTGGGTGGTTACTCTGCAAAGGTGCTTTCCCTGTTTTTTCTGCCTTTGGTGCTACTCCGGTGGCATCTCCTCCAAGTCTTATTGTTATTATTCTTATTCTTCTTTCAACCAGTCACTCAACGGATGTTCTGCTTTTTGTTTTTGCCTGTTTGTTGTTGATGCTCTGACTTTCTTTGGGAATATTTAAAAACTAATTGGTATATAGAGATGCAAACATTTGGGAGTATGGTGGCTAGAATTAGCTATATAGAGATCAACTCTTTAAAACTAAGTATTAAAAAATATTTAGGTATAAGTTAATTCTTATATATTGATACTTGTCTTATTACTCTTTGTGTCTTATTTGTAGGTTCCCATGGAGCTGGTCATCCTTTAGAAACTTGTACTCCTTTTGTCACTTGGGGAGCTGGAATCAAGTATCCTCAAAAAGTGTTAGCTCAGAAATTTGATGATACATATTTGCAAGGTATGAACATTTATCTTTATTGTTTTTATAAATGTGACATTTTAAAATAAAACCAAAGTTTAACTTAAAAAATTACTTTTCAAGTTATAGCTTTCATTTTGATATTTGTGTCATTACTATTTCTGTGTATTACTTTTGTATAGTTCATATTATTTGGTTTATAATATTCAGCTTGAAATATAATTGTTAGTTATTTGCCTTGTGAAAGTTCAAGTATAAGTTTTAATATTTTTTTTCACAAACCTTATTATTCCAGGACTTAGATTAAACCCTTGGCTTAGATCTTACCTGCAAAGACTATCAATTAGATAAATCACACATATGTCACAATTGATACTTCAAAACTGGACAGATTTTGCCCTGTCTCTAGTACTTTTGAAGGCACTCTCTGTTGCCCAAGCCTCCCTTGCTTCTCAATCCATGATGAAAAGGAATTCCTTTTTCTTGGAGCTCTGGTTATTTTGTAAGGTAAGGGTATTTTAGCGTTTCAAAGCTTTTACTAATTGAACAAAATAAATTCCTCTCAAATGCCTTTCTCTGGATTAGTTGTGTCAGACTCATTCAAAGCACTTGTTAAGAATACAGATTAAAAAAAAAAAAGTTACAGGGCTTCCCTGGTGGTACAGTGGTTGGGAGTCCGCCTGCCGATGCAGGGGACATGGGTTCGTGCCCCGGCCCGGGAGGATCCCACATGCCGCAGGGCAGCTGGGTCCGTGAGCCATGGCCACTGGGCCTGTGTGTCCAGAGCCTGTGCTCCGCAACGGGAGAGGCCACAGCAGTGGGAAACCTGCATACCGCAAAAAAAAAAAAAAGTTACAGATTTCCAGACCTTGTCTGTAGGTATTTTGATTCCATGAGTCTGGGTAAGCCCTAGAAATGTTCCTTTTAAAACCTTCTCCAGGGATGTGGACTCCCAGCTGTATTAGGTATTTCTACCATAGAAGACTTTTTGGTTTGTATAATAAAATTTTCCTACGCACTTTCTTTCTTTTTTTTTAAATTTTTTATTGAGATGTAATTCTCATACTATCAAATTCATGTTTTAAAAGTGTATGATTAAATTTTTTTAGTATATTCACAAGATTATGCAATCGCCTCTACTATATAATTACAAAACATTTCATTGCCACCCCCCCTCCCCAAATCCCTTCCCATTAGCAGTCACTCCTTACTTCTCTCTCCATTGTATGTCTATGCCATATTTCATTGTCATCTTATGGACATTTAGATCGTTTCCACATTTGGGCTGTTATGATAATGACTCAATGAACATTTGTGTAAAAGGTTTTGAGTGCATATGTGTTTTTATTTCTCTTCGGCAGGTACCTAGGAGTGGAATTAACGGATCATGTGTTCCTCTATGTTTTACTTTTTGCAAACTGCCAAACTGTTTTTCAAAGCAGCTGCACCATTTTATATTCTTATGCTCTGTGTTAAATGGATTAGATTGAATCTAAATAGAAGAGCTAGGTTAAATAGTATGTTTGTATTGAATACTTAGGAGACGGAACTTTCTTTTGGCAGTTGATTTCTCAGTGACTTAACGTTTTAGAATCATATGACTTCAAGAATCATTACTGAAAGAATGTATTTTTTCTTATATGGATATTTGGTATCATAAGTTACAGAGAAAGGGAATGTACATGTTTTTCCTCATCAGGTGATTAGTCTGAATTTTTAGTAGCTGACTGGTAGAATTAGGATCATATTTTTAAACTTTTTTAGCTTATTAAAGGAAATTTCATCATAAAAATGCCTTAGAACCTTTTGGGTAACATATCTTAAAGTCAAAAACAAAGTCTTAAAATCAAGACGTGGCCTCATAATCATTTGTTTTGATTACTGTTTATTGAAATTTCTGAATTTATATGTAGAAAGATAGGGGAATGAGGCAGTTTTAATAGTAACTCACTATACTACTTTCACATTTGGGATTAGTGACGGTAGGAGCATCAGAGCTAAAAAATTTCAAATATTTTGCAAGCAACTCTCATTACAGAAAAAAGAAAAGCTTAGATTGACTAACGGGCTATTGGTTGCCTTAATAATTCCCTGGAACAGGACTGTCATTAGTTGTAGTCATGCTGACAGTTGTTATCATTGTGCCTTTTACTTCCATCTTTCTTTCCTTAGCCTTTGGATGTTTTGAAACAATTATCTCCAAATTATTTCCAAATTAATAAACTATCACAGAAAATATCAAATATTTATTTTTCAGTTATTCTTTTAAAATTCTAGTTTAAAAAATTTACAGGTCTTCCTTCTTAAGCACGCTTTTTTTTCATACTTGGCTTAAAATGAACTTTGCCAATACTTTGGTTTCCACTGACCACTTATAATAATAAAATGATTTATTTTTTAAAAAAATTCTTAACATCAGCTCTGGTGTTTATTTGTATATTTCAGAATGGAAATTGGAGAACTGGAAGAGACAAGATGTCAATCAGGTATTCATTAAATTTAATCATGTTCAGATTTAATTTCATCTATAAGAAGTTTAGACCAAAAAAGTCTGGAAAAAAAGTATATTAATAATGATAAAAGATTTTTCTAAAACATTTCAGTTACCAAGGGAAATCCTGTTAAATGAGAATATCTTAACCCCAAGTAATCTTCCTTTTGGCAAAATAAAAAAAGCAGCCGCAAATAAAAGTGAAAAGAGAAGATGTCCTCCCTCCAAATAACACTGGCTAATTAAAGAATGATTATGCAAATTAAAATTTGCATGCCTGTTACATTTCTGTGATTTCTTGTCATGGTTGCCTTGCGTAGTTGCTTTAAGCACAGATCTAATAAAATCCCATTATGGGTTTCTCTCCTGTTAGTGTGTCAGTTACCACTTCTTTTTTATTAACACCCATTTTATCTTTAATTCTACCCAGAGTTTTTACAAATGCAATGGAGAAAAAGTGACAAGAGTATATAGATTACTCAGCTAGAAACCTTACATTATAGGAAAATGTGTGGCCAACCTAATCAAGTTAGACCAGTAACATTATCTGTAATTATGAAGCACAGATTTTTCTTATTGAAGATATGCTGTGCAGACAGCCATCTTTACTATTTGTGGAAGGCATGGCATCGTTGGTATGTGGCCTCCAAAATGGCGGGAATACCTTACTTCTCCAGGTCACCTCACAAGCTGACATTCCTTACTGTGGTGGATAAACCAGGTCTAGGGTCTCATTTTCAGGCTTACAGTTATAGAAGCCTGTTCTTTCTCAGCATATTAAGAATGGTCTCTTTGCTCAGGATGGATGCTTATTATCCAAGTAAGTGACAATGTATAGAATCAGATAGCAGTCTATTAATTTGCAATAAAAATCACTGTCAAAGGAATAGGAATAAGTTGAAGTCCATAAAACAAGAACATGTTTTTTATATAGACTGGATCATAATCAAAAACTAAATATAGATTCAGCTATTGCTCTCTGAATACTGCTTCAGATCTACATTAGATGAGAATTCTTTATTCATTCCTTCTACCAACACTGTTGTGTGTCTGCAGTATGTTTAAACATCGTGCAAACATTAACATTAACATTAAAATATTGAAACATTAACACATTAACATTAAACTTTGTATAAGGGATATAATGGTGAATAAAAGCTCACACACTCCCTACCCTAGGAAGCTTATAGTTTAGGAATAAGATAAATTTTACTTTTATTTGTATTTATCATACAAATAAACGTAAAATTATAGCCGTGATAAGTACAACAAAAGAGGCCTGTGAAGCCATCAGAGTATAAAGCAGATATATCTCATAGGCTGTGTGTGGTCAGCAAAGCCTTCCCCAGAAATTGAGGCTTGGGCTGTGATTGAAGAATGAGTCGAGTAGCAGTTGCCAGGCCAAGGCAGGAGGAAAGGAGCTTTTCAGGCAAAGGAGCAGCATGTGCCCAGAGCTCTGGTAGAGAGTACGTGGCATTTTAAAGGATCTTGAAGAAATGGGTGTACAGAGCAACAGACCGTGCTTTGATGTGAGGCAGAATAAGGTAGACACTGGACCACACAGGGCCTCATGGGCCCTATGGAGTTAATCCTAAAGCTTGAGGAAGCCTTTGAAGTGTTCAAAGCCTGGGCAATGACATGATCTGATTTTCTGTGAAAAGATTCCTCTGGCTGCAGCATGGAGACTAGATCAGAGGAGGCCAACGGTGGATTCTGGGGGAAGGAGAGGAAGCGATTAGGCGGCCAATGGGGTTTTCAGTGTTCTATGAGATGGTAAAGAGAGTCTAGATGGTAAAAAGTAAGACTGAGAGCCTGGGACCAAACTCCAGTTTTAAATGGGGGCTAGAGGAGGTATCTGGAAAGAAGCCACAGTGAGATTGGAGGCACTCAGTGGAGCGATGTTACAGAGGCCCAGGAGGGCGTCGTCCGCACAGCACTGCCAAGAGATCACATAATTATAATCATCACAACAGCATTTGTAGCCAAATGGTGGCATTTGTAGCCACCAACAGCATTTGTAGCAGGACTATTATGCGCCAGGTACTTTATAAATTTAGTCTCATTTGATCCTGCCATAACTCTGTAAGGGAGAAACTTTTATTTCTTTTTTAACTGATAAGGAAACTGAAGCATTGGAGAGGTTAAATAACCTGCCCAAGGTCTCAGAGATCACAAGCAAGTGTTTGAAACTGAGCATTCTGACAGCCAAGTATTTTACTCCCTGAAAAATTGTGTGGACTAATATAAAAGCAATCCGTTAGTTGTAGAAAAATGGAGGTTATTAGCTCTTTAGGAAGAGCG